TGCCGACTCGATGTCACGGCCCTCTTCGAATCCTCGTTCATCACCTCCTCCTTACCTCGTCCCCCTTGTCGTTATTCACGTCTTCGGCCCCCTCCTAACCTATTCCCCTCTTCACTTATTGTCCTTCCCCTGCTCCTCTTACTGACGGTTAAATAAGTAGATAGGGAGATAGGTAGATGGGGAGACATGGAGATAAGGAGACAGGTAGCCAGGTAGATAGGTGGATAGGTACATAGGGAGATAGGGAAATATGCAGATGGGGAGATAGGGAGATAGGAACATAGGTAGATAGGGAGGCAGGTAGATATAGGTTGATAGGTAGATACATACAAAGATCGATAGGTGAACAGATAGATAGGGAGATAGGAAGAATGGTAGATAGGGAGATACATAGATAGATAGATAGATACATAGATAGATAGATAGATAGATAGATAGATAGATAGATAGATAGATAGGCAGATAGGTAGACAGGGAGATAGGGAGATAGGGAGATAGGGAGATAGGTAAATAGGTAAGTAGATAGATAGATAGGTAGATGCATAGATAGGTAGATAGATAGATAGGTAGATAGATAGATAGGCGGATAAGGAGATAGGGAGATAGGTAGATAGGTAGATAGGTAGATGAATAGATAGGTAGATAGACAGATAGGGGGATAGGTAGATAGATGAGTAGTTAGATGGAAAGATGGACACGTAGAGAGATAGATGTATAGGTAGATGGATATTCAGATAGATAGATAGATAGATACATAGACGATAGATGCGCTTTGTGTTCCCAGTGTAGTTCTTCGACATAGGCGATAGATGCATCGAAGTTCTAGCAATTCCTCCCTTCAACTTTTTGGTTCCTTCATTGATAGTCTTCATTGATCGTGCTATGGCAGTGGTCGATGTCCTCTGCCACTAACGTACGGTCTTCTTTTGGTCTTTGATGCAGCTTCCACATCTGTTGCTTGCCTCACTCAGTCATTGGTGCATTGCGGCACCTGATATTGTTGTTCTCCTCACCCGTTCAATCACCATTGTTTTGTGCACATGTCACTGTTTTTGGTGCAGCCTCCTGATGCTAATGAGCATGGCGTCCATGAGCAGACGACGTGGACCCGCGGCATACCCACCCCTCGAGCCTCTTCCTGATTGGAAGCAAGAGGACTTGAGGAGTTCACATTCGGTTTGGCAGTGGGTGGTTAAAGGTCAAGAGTGGGGTGTGGTGGGGGAGGGTAACTTCCTCATGCGTTCCCACCTATGCAATGAGGTGTTTCCCGGTTCACGATCAAGGGCAGTGGAGCACCTCACGAAAACGAAGGTGCAGTGTCCACGACGAATGACTGAGATACTATGGCGCTTGCAGCATCAAGGAGCACAACTCTGGGACGGTTTGTCACCGAGGTTGGCCGCGGAGTACGCAGATGCCATGAAGGAGGAGCTGACCGTGGAGGATCTGGTTGGACGTGGCACTGTTGCCCCTGCTGATGCTGGCGCCACGCAGACAAGAACCGTTGGAAGACAAGACGGGAGAGGTGCAGCAGGACAGATGGTGGAGAGCAGGATTGTCTTGTGAGAGACGCCGCAGATAATGCTCATGAGCGTTTGCGAGCGCTCGTCAGTATGGGGGATGGAGGTGATGAGAGGCGGGCGAGAGGGAGTCCTACCACATCGACCGTCTCCGTGCAGGTCGCACTCCGAGGAAGATAGACCGCTTGGATCCGTTCTTGGGAAAAAAGGTGCACAAGGACCTCGACCGTCTGTTGGCACTTGCAATGTACCGAGGTGGCATGTCATTCAACTGGCTACGGTTGAAGGAGACGTGAAACTATTGGGACAACATCGTTACACTCCTGAGGCCATCCATCGTCCCAGCACCGCGCCTGCTCTCGTGCGAGGGCGTGAGGATGAGGATGAAGGATATTATATACCACGAGGTTGCAACACTCATCGGCCCTAAAAGGCAAAGTGGAAGGACGTCGGGTGCACCTTGATGACTGACGGTGCCACCGACCAATGCAACAAGTCGATAATGAACTTCATCGCAGCAGGGCAATTAGGGCCAATCCTTGTCCGCACCATCGACATGGCAGCACGAGACAAGACAGGCATGAGTTTGGCAGAGATATAGGAGGGGGTGATACGAGATGACATAGGGGTGGAGAACGTAAACGCCATCTGCACAGACAACGCCGAGGTTATGAAGGCGGCTGTGAGTATTCTATAGGACCCAAACACTGCCATTGCACGCATCCCCTGGATCCCTTGTCCAACACATTGTTTGAGCTTGCTGCTCAGAGACATTGCGGTAAAGCCATGGGCCGCTGAAGTGATGAAGAGAGCGCACAAGATCATCAAGTTCATGCGAAACAAGCAAAATGCACTCCATATTCATCGATCAACGAAAGGGGCCTTGGACCTAACACGCCCAGCTGACACATGGTTTGGGACTGCTTATACGATGTTGGAGAGCCTGTACCAGCAGAGGATGGTGCGTAACGGGGTCGTGTCCTCTGATCCTTGGAGAGATGCACGATGGTCAGGAAACGCGCGTGTGGAGGCGTCGGAGGTACGCAGGCTTTGCAGATCGCACTGGTGGTGGCAGCACATCAAAAAAGTGATGGACGTGATGGAGCCCTGCTACACTTTCTTGAGGGCCATGGACTTCCATGGATCATTGCTTCCGGGATTGTGGGACTTGGAGTCCCTCTTGCGGAGGAAGATTGATGTATTGGGCCTGCGGGAGGATGAGAGGAAGCTGATCTTCGACATTGTGGCAGACAGATGCGTGATGATGCGACAACCGGCACACTCAGCAACTTACTTGTTGGATCCTTGTCGACGTGACATCTCTTTGTTTTCCGATCGCAGTGCACCCGTCGTGCAAAGTGCACTTGCTCATTTCTCTCATACGTTGGGTGGAGGTTGGGAGACTAAGGCGCTGGGAGACTTGTGGGAGGATTTATGGACCTTCCACTTTGATGATCCTTAATATTGGCCGGGGCACGGTCCTCATTGGTGGGACGAGGTCGCAGTTCCGAACGCCGGCAGCAAAACCATGCACCCGGCGTTGTAGTGGCAGCTTCACGGCGGCAGGCAACCCAAGTTGTATGTAGGCGATAGCAAATAAAGTGCTCGGCATGTGGTCTACAACCAGTCCTTGTGAGCGCAGTTGGGCGACTCATGATTTCATACAAACGAAGTGGCGCAACAACCTCTCCGCCTCAAGTTTGGAGAAACTCGTGTTCATTCACAGGAACATGCAGCTTCTCAACACTAGCAGCAGGCTTGAGAGTCGCTACATTGACGTGTGGGCGAAAATGGTTGAGGACCCCCCCGAGGAGGTGGACGATGGAGATGTTTTGCCAGCCGATGCGGACGAGGAGTGGGAGGCAGCCACTCGAGAAAACCGTCGTACAGACGGTCGTGATCGCATCACATCTGCATCCCGCCATGCCGACGATCATGCCCTTGGCCGGATGCGGTGTGGATGCATCGTGAGATGGCAGAGCACGTGTAAGAAGAGAGGGACAAAGGGAAGACCCTTGCCGAGGACCGACACGATATCCTCGATGACTAGGCGGTGCTTGAACCCCATGAGGACTTCAATACGTACGTGGGCGCCAGTTTCCACACAATGAGGACCCTACGGGAGAGGGTGGGAGGTCAGACCAATGTTAAGGGCTTGCTGGCAAGAGAGGACGCTTAGCAGGACAGGGAGCACTCCCATGAGGACGTTCATGGATCGCCTCCACGGCGAGAAGCGAGTGCAACAGGGTCCACACGAGGCTCGTGCTGAGTCATCTCATCGAGGGGCAAGGGTGATTGGCAATGCCACAATCATAGAGGTGCTTGCCTGTGCAGGGATAGCGTCCGGCAGTGCCACTGACCATGTGCATAGGAGTGAGGGATCTCTTCATGCAGGTGCTCAGCATGGGCTGCAGCAGATGACGGAGCAAAGGACGAAACAGAGGGTGCAGCAGACGGTCGACCAGAGGGCGGATGATAGGCCGCTGCAGAGGACGAAGGACAATGACAGGGTGGATCAGGTGGTGGAGCAGATTGCTGATCGTCGGAGGGCGACACAGACTGTGGTGCAAACGGTGCATCAGAGGGTGACTTGCGTCGTCGATGAGACAGTTGAAAAGAGGCAAGAGGAGGGTGCACGGTCTGTCTTGGAGCAGAGCGTTCAGCAAACGATCGGGGACAGTGCATACCAGAGAGTGGGCCAAAGTGTGGAGCCGAGGGTTGCGGATGTCGTTACACCAACGGTGGAGCAGAGGGCCGAGCAGAGACTGGGCGGGAGGGTGGAGGCATTGGTGGAGCAGACGATAGAGCAAAGGGCACACATGTCTAGAGTTTGTAGAGTGGAGCAGAGGGTTGAGCAGAGGCTCGGCGTCAAAGTGGACGTTAGTGTGGATCAGCGATTGGGCCATGAGAGATTAGACGCAACATGCGCGAGGGTGGGTGAGAGGGTGGGTGAGAGTGTGGTGCATGATGTGGGTGGTGTGACGGCGGAAGAGAGGACATAGGAGATGGCCAGTCCTCTATAGGGGTTGATGTTAGGGCACGTGTTGGGGAGCCATCACAGCGCGGAGTCAAGGGTGCATCGGACTCCACATCTAGTCATAAGAGGCAGGGTGGGACACAGCTCTATCTTGACGACTCGTTCACCATTGGGCAATCCAGAAGGCGTGCCCCACCAGCCCCCTCCTCGAGACATGCAGTCACCCGGACCATCCAGGCTGAGTCAAGGCTCCACTCTTTTCAGGTGTCGTGGGACATTGCACACTCCGAGGATTGGCACTCGTGCGATCAGTCCACTGGGCATGCCCCCGCTTCCTGCGTTGCACACTCCCGAGGACTGGCACTCGTGCGATCAGTCCACTGGGCATGCCCCCGCTCCTGCGTTGCACACTCCGAGGACTGGCACTCTTGCGATCAGTCCAGGCATGCCCCCACTTCATGTGTTGCACACTCCGAGGACTGGCACTCGTGCGATCACTCCACTGGGTATGCCCCCGCTTCCTGCATGACAACCATCCCTTATCATTGACAATACAAAGACGAGTCGTGCTGGTAGAAAGAGGAAATTGAGGGGATGAGGCAGGTGGTGAACCAGCTCCCAGACAATCGAAAGTCAGCACTAGTCACACTCGAGGCCGCGCACAGCGTCACAGTCATGGGTGCTGAGTGCGTTGGTAGATGTGGATACAGAGACTCCCGATGTTGCCGAGCAATTGCCTGGTGGACGTGACATTGTTGGCCGTGTGTGCACCAGGTCTCGCGCAGGTGGCGGAGAGAGACGGAAAGTCTCTTCTTGAGTGGTCGATGATGATCCTGATGACAATGATCATGGCAACACCTCAGACGAGATGTCCGTAGTGACTATGCTGAGGAGGCTCGCCTGCGGGGTGGAGATGGTGAAGCTCTCACGACACTGGGGATGAGGCGGAGTAGAGACATGCGCTGCATGCGTTTGTCTTCGGTCGAGGTGCAGTCTGCTTGATTCGTGTGTGTGTCATTGATGATACTGTGAGGGACGTCGAGAGAGATAGAGAGATGCATGTGTTATCATCAGCCAGAGTGGCGTGTGGTTCATGCGTGTGTCGTCTTCTGTCCTTGCTGCATGGGAGATAAAGATTGTGAGAGACCGAGAGAGATACAGAGATATGCAGTTCGTTGTTGTGCTGAACTTGCTGTAGTGGTTCTTCACATGTTCTGCTTCTTTCTATGTTATTGTTTGCCTTTGTTGTCCACAGTGCATCTTTCAATGTTATCTTTGATTGCGGATGTTGTTGCTGTATGTGAACGCATGTCATGGGGTGATGATCAGGACATCGTATATGTGTTTGTCTGTCCCTGACTCCCTGCACAAGTGTGTGTGTGTGTGTGTGTGTGTGTGTGTGTGTGTGTGTGTGTGTGTGTGTGTGTGTGTGTGTGTAAGTGTGTGTGCAGATAGAGTTTGTGCGCGTGTGCATGTGTGTGTATGCGTATGCGTGCGTCTGTGTGTGTGTGTTGTTTTAATAGACCCCAGATTCTCTCTCTCATTCCCTTCACAAATCATCACAAGCCATCCATAACGAAAAAGTTTAGATAGGCACCACGTTTGTATGGATCAGCGCCAAGTGCTCACACACCCGTCTGCCGCCAAAGCGGCACACTTGCGCATATACATATGTATACATGGTTGCACCCCTGCAGACCGCCGACCCCGACCGCCGATCGTATTGCAGCCGACCAGTAGGGCCGACAGGTCGACGGTCTGCCAACCAGTCAGAAAACAACCATCCACTGATTTTTTTTTAAATCCGAGTTGGGGGCTGTACTGCGCTTGCTGAGTACAGCCCAAATCCGCTGAGAAACTTTTGGGGAAGGGGCGGGGGGTATGGCGGGGTTGGGGTTGGAGCATACCTTCGTCGCAAGTGTGCTGGTCACTGATGCGCGAAAAAAAAAAAAGAAAAAAAAGAAAAAAGAAAAAAAAGTGCAGCTGTTATGTGTGAGAACACGCAGGGGAGAGAGAGAGAGAGAACACGCAAGAGAGAGAGAGAGAGAGAGAGAGAGAGAGAGAGAGAGAGAGAGAGAGAGAGAGAGAGAGAGAGAGAGAGAGAGAGAGAGAGAAAACAAATTGCTCCTTAACATTGATTTGCAAACCCCTGCGGGTTATCAGAGGCCCCTGCGCATAGTTACTAAGGGCCATCTCACCATGAACGAGGTAATGCTCATCACCATGCTAGAGTGATGGCACGCCAAGTATATATTCTGTGGATTCACATTAAGGTCCGTGTTTCAGCAGTTATGGGACCACTGAGCACGAAAGTTTCTGGGCAGTAGCAGGCCAACTTACCACGTGCTTTTCAGGGCTTCCCTCCACTACTCACCAAATGTGCAAAACTAGAATGAATCTTCTGCTAGAACATGGAACCATACGCCGCCATATGTTTTGTCTTTTGTGCTAGTGACGAATGGAGAAAGGCCCTTAGGGCCACTGCTCGTAGGAAAACGAAACAAAAGAAAAAGAGAGCTACAGTAGCAAGTAGTTGTAACTTGTAACCCATAACTGCTGGAAAGCAGACCTGACTTCGGATCCAGAACATATATTGCTGGCCTGCTCCACTCTCACCCGAAATTTGCTGAACGTCTCTTGAGATGTCTGGACCCTTGCAGATATACTGGTGGGGTCCTTTGCAGAACAAAGATTATTCAATGAGGAATACGTGGGCCCTACTGGTCGGCCGCAATACCGTCGGCGTTGGAATTGCCAACGTTGGAGTCGGCCCTTTGGGAAAAAGATTATTCAACGAGGAATACGCCGACCGTTTTTTTTTTGTTTTTTTTTTTTTGACAGGGTGCCGACGACCCCCGACCAGTAGGTGTCGACCAGCCGACTGGTCGGCGGGTCGGCAGCCGACCAGTCAAGGGTCACCGAGGGTCGGGGTGTGCAACACTGTATGTATACATATATATTTCAAACCATAAGGGGATGGAGGACAGAAGGCAACTTACCTAAGACGGAAGACTACTCCCGCAAGAAGGCACCGACCTGACCCCCTCAAAGGTCCGAAAAAACATGGAGAGCCTTCCGCATCGGCCCACAAAACCAAAAACTCATTTACCAAAAACAAACAAATATAACAGCATTGGCATTCCCGACATTCATCTCAAACTACACACTCGCATCGCTGCCAAAGAGGAGGAAGAAGATAACAGACAACTTACCTAAGACAGAAGACTCCAGCAAGACCGCACCGCCCCCCCCTGCTAAGGGTCCAAAACTCGTAGCCACCCGTAAACATCCAAATAGCCCATGCTCTAAAGCGGGGCAAAAAATTAGGCTGTGTATAATCAACAAAGTTGAACAAACCCAACAAGGCATATCCAACCACAAAAAGAGAGAATAGCTCGCTAGTACGAGCCCGATCCTAGCTGCTCAAATCTGCCAAGACAGAGAGCTAGCAAGACAGGAATGTGTGTTGTTTTAAAAAGACCCCAGATTCTCTCTCTCATTCCCTTCACAAACCATCACAAGCCATCCATAACGAAAAAGTTTAGATAGGCAATATAAATTATATAATAGAAAATGCAAGGTTGGCCACGTTTGTGTGGTTCAGCGCCAAGTGCCCACACACCCATCTGCCACCAAAGCAGCACACTTGCACATATACATATGCATACATAAATACTTCAAACCATTAGGGGATGGAGGGCAGAAGGCAATTTACATAAGACAGAAGACTACTCCAGCAAGAAGGCACCGACCCGACCCCCTGTGTGTGTGTGTGTGTGTGTGTGTGTGTGTGCACGTGTGTGGAAACAAGACAGTGTGTGTATGTGTGTACATAGTGTGTGTGTGTGCGTGTGTGTGCGTGTGTGTGTGTGTGTGTGTGTGCGTGTGTGTGCGTGTGTGTGTGTGTGTGTGTGTGTGTGTGGACACCTGCAGCAGCTGCAGCAGTGGGCCTTCCACAACACCTTCCACCCCCTTCCACACCCCGGCATTGTTTTCCTTTTTTTTTTTGTGCTCCGAATGGCCTCAAAATTGTTTTGGGGAGTCCCCTGGTGGTGCACATCCCTCCCCCCCTCCTTTTTTTTTTTCTTTTGCTTTCCAGATTTGGAAAAATGAGTTGGACAACTCCGCACAGGATGTCCGGCCAGGACAACCGGCCATCGGACAACTGGCAGCCTAGCTAATTGGACTATGTCTCAATTTATGTTCGCCATGCTTGCTCAGGGACCATGCTAATCTTATCTGAACCCCATTAACAAATTCCATATTACAAATTTGGGCCCCCCTTCACACCTGTTTTCTCAGCCGTGATCTTCTCGCAGACTCTCTGTTGGACTGCTTCCTCCGTTGCCGTTTGACTTCTCTCTCATCCTGAAATTCAAACAAATTGCAGATCCTCCCCCCCCCCCCCCCCCCCCCCCCCCCCCC